ATTAGAGTCGAGCTTTTGAATTTTGCAGTTAGGTTCGAATGGGTTTTTGAGTTTTAGGAAAATCGATTCCAAATTTTGGAGATTTAGGAGGGGGACGGAAATCTTAGGGCTACAGGTGGAGGGAAACTCAGAATTTGGGGAGGGAAGGGAAAATGTATACAGACGGCTAAAATAAAAGAGGAAAAAATCATGTTTAATAAACAGTGAATTATACACTTTATACAGACGGATAATTAGTAAATTGTTTGTATAAACTCAATCTATACTAACGGATATATTTCTCCGTTGGTATAGATCAATATATTCTAACTGTTTATGTTTTCCGTTGGTATATACTTGTGTATACTAACTGTTTATAGTTTCCGTTGGTATAGACCCATGTATACAGATGGATTTCAATCCGTCAGTATAGACCTTCCGTTGGTAAAAGGCATTTTGCTTGTAGTGTGCCTTATCATCATGCCACATTATCATCTATGTCATCATTTAACGAAGTTTGTAAGAGATATATAACAAAGGTGATGAACGACAGCATATTAAAAAAAAGGTTGGTGATTAAATTAAAAGTTATGATAAAAGTGTACGAACTATTGACATAGTTTACCCTAAGTAAAAAATTGTTCAGCTAAAATTTTAACAACAACTTAAAATTAGAAACATTTGAAAACTATTTTTGATATCAAAAAAACGTAATATTGTTTCTAGAAATGGAAGAATGCTTATATTTTATGAAATTAAATTTTGCTATAAAAAAAGTTGAAAAGAGAATAATTGATTAGACTATGGTGGATTTTTGAATTTTTTAATGATTTTAACGGAGTAAGTTAATGTACATCCGTTAAAGGTGTGCCAATGGAATGGGAAGAATTATGGAAAACTAGTTTTTCAAAAGAGGTGAATTTTGTTTGCTATAAGAAAATATTTTATATATTTTGTGCCAATTTTCTAATTTTCTAATTATCCAGGGACTTCACTGGTCATTAGACCTAATTAAAATTACATAAATACTAAATTTTTATACTGTATATTGTAACAATTATTAAATATAAAAAAATAAAAACTAAAAATCAAAATTAATCAAAATCATACTAAATTGAGCTGAGAATTCTTTGGCCCGAAAGGAAAATGGCTTATTGAGCTTTCTAATTGACCTCGAGATATTAAAAAAGGTTTAATTAAACAAAATATTAGACCTCGAGATATTAAAACAGGTTTA